CGGGCGGAACATGCCCAGATGGCCGAGCTTGAGCGTCGGGTGGAGTCCGCCTGCCGTGAGTCCCAGGTCTGGACGGCCGAGGTAGCCACGACGTGGGCGGAGGGACAGCGTGCGGCGGAGCGGGCGACCGCTGCCGATGAAGGGCTCGAGGCGGAGAGGGTTCATCATGAGGAGGCTGAGGTGGGGGTGCGAGCGTCCCTGGCGAACACCGAGGTGGCGCTGTGAGAAACCTTGGTGGCCCTTGAGCCAGAGCGGGCCGCCCTGGAGAGGGCACAGAAGGCCCTGGAGGTGGAGCAGAGGGCCCGATCGGAGGCGGATCAGAAGGTGCTCGCGCTCCGGAGCCAGGTGATGGGGATGGAGGACGCGAGTGCTCGGCTGCACGAGCAGGCGGCTCGGCAGGCAGAGGACTTCTCCACCCTTGAGGCCTCTCGCACCGGCGCGTACCTTTTTGCTCGTGGTGTTGATTTTCCCTCAGCCTGTTTCTGAGTTTGTCGTCCTTCCTCTAGAGCTGGGTGAGAAGGTGAAGGCGCTGGAGCGAGACCTAGAGGCATCCAAGGCGAGCTTCAGCCAGAAAGCCGAGGAGCTGGCCAAGTCCCGTGAAGAGTGACGTGCTCTCGAAGGGGACTTGGACCATATCCGCAACGCTGCCCGGCTCGTCGTCTCGAAAATCTTCGGGTCGGTGCCAAGTACTAGCGCGCCCGCGGCCCAACTGCCAGAGGTCCCAGACATGGTCAAGGACCTTGTTAGGAGCGGGCTATTTTATGGAGCGTCGGGGTTGCTGACCTCGGTGGCAATGCACCACCTGAGCCTGGACTTCGACACTATCTACGGTGGGTATGCTGAGGGTCTAAGCACGGAGGACATCCAAACAATCGGGGTGAGCTTGCTGCCGCACGCGCGGTCGGTGTTAGAGCAAGTCTCCGCCGAGTGGGTGATGGACGTTCACGTCAAGACATGGCCCGAAGCATGCGTGGAGAGAATGCTTCCGAGCCTGCGGATAGCCCAGAGCCTGGTTCAGGGGGAAATGTCGCCTCGGCCTTGGTTGGGCCGGACGTCGTGCCACCGGAGAGTGAGCAGCCTGCGCCTTCGTCGGCCGTGCCGCCAGCAGATGCCGCCGGGTCGGTTTAATAGCTTGCAGAACATAAGTAGTTAGTAATCATAAAAAGTTTTAAGTTCGTGGGGGAGCCCCCGTGTAAAACGTTCGTGGTGTGTTTTAATGACTGCAATCGGTTTTTGTTTTTGTGATGGAGTTGCTCCGTTCGGGGAAGTCTGTTCCCTTTCGTTCCTTAGTTTTCCCTTAGCATAGTTTTGTTTCTTACTTCCTTCCCTCTCGTACCTGCCCGTTTGTTCCGTAGGCTGCAACCTTGTGAGCCCGGGGAGTGGCCCGCGAGGCTCGGCTAGCCGTAACCGTAGGAATAGGCGGGGTGCGATCGGTCGGAAAGTTTTAAGACAAAGCTACATAAGGTGAATTAGAGAACGGACTGCCCTTTTGTTCGGGTAGGAAGGAGTTTTTTCCATATGAAAGTAAACGAGTACTCAAAGTAAAAACAGAATAGAGGGGTACTAGAGCCCCCTAGTGGAGTCCCCGAGTGCCCGAGCCGAAAAGTGTTTGGGTCGGGGTGCTCTTACAGGAGCGTACGTTTAGTGAATAATGGTAAGACTAAAACTTAGGGAAAACGACATAGCTGTTTCAAGCGTTCGGAGATAACGTTGTCGTCGTTGTCTTTCAGCCGGTAGGCGTCCGGTCAGATCAATTCAGCCTTTAGTCATCTGGATCCTCGCCTGACGTGCCCCCTTCTTCTGTTGCCTTTTTCGTCCCTCGGCTACCGCCATCTACCTCGGCGCTGAGGAGCCGCGCCCTTTGTAGAGATGGTTGACGGGATAGTCGTGGTTGGTGCACGGGCTCTCCATGAGTTCGTGGAAGTGTCCCGATTGGTCCTGCTGAGGCTGCATGCCCAAGTGGTCGGCCGTGACGACCGTCGTGGAGTTAGCCGGTCGGCGGCGATCCTTTCTGTTCTTTTTTCCCCTCTGCGTGGAGGGGCCCTCGTCTTGATCCTGGCGCTTTGCCTTACCTTTGTCGTGGCCTCCATTGGAGTGTGGTAAGAACGGCGCTTGCTGGGGGATGTGGGCAAAGGTCGGTGGTCCCGGGCCGTCAGTGCTGGGACTCCGGTCGCCGCTGCATGTCCCTCGGTTTGGTCCAAGCCGCGCATAGATAGGCGGTTGGTATGGAGCGGTTGTCAGGTCAAGATGAGGCGACATTGCGGCCTCATGTGTCGCGCTCAGCGGTTGTTGCGGTGACAGGGTGTAGTGCCCCATCTGCTGCGTCCCCGTTCCCCGGACGGGGAGTGGGGTCGCGAGTCGGAGTCGCGATGCGGAGCATTCCGCTTGTTGAACGGGCGGCCTCCACTAGTGCCTGGAGGTTCCGGTGGATCGCCCGTTCGCGAGGGTTGTTCGGCTCGGCCAGGCCGCGCAGGAGCATTGCCCACGCGGCAATGTTCTGACTGGCCCGGGCAAACTATGGGGGATTAGTCCCTCTACCCAGGGTGTTGCACGGGATCTGACGGGCGCGACCCCGAGCGCCGTTCACCGGTCCACGTGCTCGGGGCGCAGCGTAGCGCGCCGAGCATGCTGGCGTGGTTGGTGGCTGATGCGGCCACTGTCATCGTAGTTCCTCCTCGTGCTCACATGTGAGCTCGAAGGTCTCCATATGAGGGCCCAGAGAGGCGTGAGTCCGTGAGGACTCTGTTGCCCTTGGAAGTTCTTCTAGAGCGTCCTGCATGGCGCACTCCTGGGACGGACGGTGGCTGGGTGCCACGTCACCGATGCTGAAGCCGTCACTCTCGATGTCGTTGTCCATGATGTGGAGGAAACAGGAGGGACCGTAGCTCGTCATCCCCATGAACTCAGACGTGGGAGGAGACGACGCCATAATCTTTTGGAACCCCCGGGCGTATGCGTCCGCGGGAGACACGAGGCCGTAGGGGAGCTGGCCGTACGGTGGCCGTGACGGGAAGAATGGCAGCCCTCCGGGTATTTGGCGGAAGATTGAATGTAGTAAGTAAAGGACGGCATGTATATTACTTACAGCGGGGTTTGAGCAGAGAGTTTGCTCGGAATGAAGCGCAGATGCCGCGCCGTTGAGGTCGCGCGTCCCAGAGTCGACGGAGAACGTCGCTCCGACGGGCGCCGGGTCGCGAGTTTCCTCGCGGAGGTGGAGTACGCTGAGCCGGTCGGCGACGAAGTCCAGACTTCCGAAGAGGAAGGCCTGGGATGGCTCAAAAACGAGTGGAACCCGCATGCCCGCAGGCGAGAGTGCGGGATACTGTAGTGAGCCAAGGCGAATTGCGTCCCCCGAGCCCCCCGCGGTGGGGGTGGTGGAAAAATGGGCCAGCCGATAACCAAAAAGTGTTGAACGTACAACGTCTTTCCCACGGACGACGCCAACTGTCGGTACAGAAAGTGACCAACTAGTGAATATTTGTAGTTTTGCTGTACATTGTGATTGGAGGTGGCCTAGCACTCAATGACACAGGATTTAGACTGGTTCGGGCAACATGCCCTACGTCCAGTGTGGGTCTGTTGGTGACTTTATTCCTGACCCCAGGTGCTCGAAGTCTGTAGTGGGGTTACAAACGAGAAGGAGAAAGGAGGGGTGTACGAGAGGCCCGGTCGGGTCCGACCGGAAGGGCCGAGGGCGACCGGAACTCCGCTATGAGCTAGGTGTTCAAGTGTGTGCTTAGGGGGTTTCTCAGCTATCCATCTAGTGAGCCTGAGCTTGAAGAAGTGGACCTCTAGAAAATCGATCTCCCTTTGTTGGAGGGAGCGCATCCCCTTTTATAGATAAAGGGGATGGCTTTACATGTGAGAGGGAGAGAGTTTCTAAGTCTTGTTGCCCATGCCGAGTGAGGGTAATGATGATGGTTGGCACGCATAACACTGTTGATGTCGCTGTAGAATGTCAGGTGCACATGGGGGGTTGCGTTGGCTTCTTCAGGAAGGGTGGACGTCGGTACCTGTGAAATGCTATCAGTATATGAGGAGCCCCACCACGTGTGGTGAATCCTGGTGCCCACTATCGATGCCCAGAGGCATGTGGGGAGCCTTTTTGCCGTATGGGAGCCCCAACGGCGTCTACGATACTGTAGACATAAATGTCGGCGCCTACAATACTATAGGCACAGATGTCGGAACCTCCCATACTGCTTGTGCCAGGTCGGTTGTGGAGCATTGTTCCCGCAGGCGTACATGGTATGGTCCCGGTACCGTGTTTTGACTTTGTGCGCTGCTTTCTCCGTTCGCCCCTGGTCCCTTCCGAGTGGGAATCCCCGATCGGATGGCTCCAGCCGGTACTGGCCATGCCAGTCGGAGAAGAGCGGTAAGCAGCTTCCTACGAGCCCCCGGTCGGAGACGCGGAGTCGAAGTAGGAAGCAGCGTTTTGGGCCAGGCCTTCCGATCGGGGAGTCCGCCCGGAGGCGGCCGGTGCCCAAGGCGAGCGCTCCGGTCGGGGAGGTGGGCTGAAGAAGTTGTCGAGCGGGCGTTCGTTCTTTCGGTGGACCTTCCGGTCGGCGACCGGTCTGTCCCCCCGGCCCGTTGTTTTTTAGACCTTTCGGGCCGGCCCATGAGCTACAGGTTGTTCTCCTGGGCCGAGCCCGGGCGTCGAAACCGGTCCCCGAGGGACCTCGGGTTTATGAACCCGACACATATATACATACATGTACGAGACTTTTTGTTTGTTAAATACATATATGTACGAGTTACGAGTAACGTTATGTTCTGTATGCAGCCGAACAGCACAACCGCCCCGCTCACGGAACAGCTCGGCTCAACGCCCTCTGCGCTTGTCCCGGTGAACGTATAAACGGGATGAAAACAGAAATATCGCGGTCAAAAACGGGATACCGACAATACGGACGGAAAAACACTCAACCATTTTCGGTCCCGGTCCTAGTGTATCTCATCCCGTTTTCGGTCTCATTTCCATTTATCTCGAAAAAACAAAAATGGACGGAAAAAATACGGTATACAGTTGCGGATGGCACGGGATTGACCGTGCGTTTTCATCTTTAGTCAGAGGCGCCCCGCGCAGGCACGTGTCGTCTCTCGCCACCAGCTTCCGTTTCTACCTCCACCGCATCTTCTCCTCCTCAGGGTCCGGGGCCGAGAACGGCGGCACCGTTGCGGGCAGCAGGGAGGAAGAGGAGGCGGTGACCACCACCGTATCTTCGCCGCTTGCCCAGTCCCTGCCGCACCAGCCTTCGACGTCGGTGGTGCTGTCCACGCCGTCGTCACCGTGCGCGTCGTCGCCGTTCATGTCGCCGCTCTCGGTGCGCTCCCTCAGCGCCACCCCCGTCCCGTGCTCGCCGCAGAAGTTGATGCAGGCGAGCAGGCAGTCGTCGCGGTCGTTCGCCGCCCGCGGCGACGTGTTCCCCTGCAAGGTGTGCGGCGAGGTGCTGGGCAGGCCGCAGCTGCTGGAGCTCCACCAGGCGATGAAGCACTACCTGTCGGAGCTCACCCACCTCGACTCCAGCCTCAACATCATCCGCATGATCTTCCTCGCCGGGTGGAAGCCCGCGGCGGCGTCCGGTGCCGCCGGCGAGGCCCCCGCGGTGCGCCGCATCCTCAGGATCCACCACAACCCGCGCGCGCTGGCCCGCTTCGAGGAGTACCGCGACCTCGTCCGCGCCCGGGCCGCCCGGCGCTGCGGCGAGGGCGCCGTCGTGGAGGAGCGCTGCATCGCGGACGGCAACGAGCGCCTGCGCTTCCACTGCTCCACCGTGTTCTGCTCCCTGGGCGGCGGCGGCGTGTGCGGGAGTCCTACTGCTGCGTGTGCATCACCCTGCGGCACGGCTTCGCGGGCAAGAAGGCCGACGTGGACGGCATCGCCACCTACGCCTCCGCGTGGGCCGCGCACGCGTCCCTGCCCGACGACGTGGAGCGCGAGTTCGCCTTCCTCCAGGTGCGCCGCGCCATGCTGGTGTGCCGCGTCGTGGCGGGCCGCGTCGCCCGAGGCCCCGCGGACGACAAGGTGGCCTACGACTCCATGGTCCCCGTGCGCGGCGGCGTCAGCGCTGTCGGGGCCGATGACGTCGAGCTGCTGGTGTACAACCCCAGAGCAGTGCTCCCGTGCTTCGTCATCCTCTACAGCTGCTAGTCGTCAGTAGCACAAGGCGGCCAGCCTGCACGCAGTACTAGTGCACAGCCTTTCCACTGTACCTTGCCCCCACCATCCCATGATCCCATCCCCCGTTTGGTGGCGGCGCCGCTGCTGTGGGCTGTGGTCACCGGTCACGCACCGTGGGCCGTGGCGCTCTGGATTTCTGTTGGATCGTGCAATCAACAGTGGCCCATGCCGTCGTCTAATAACCCGGATCCGATCGAAAGCTTGATGCTTGATAGGGTGGGTAGCCAAGTGCTGTGAATCGTGATGATACGGAGTTGAGCCTACCATATGCGAGTGGGACGCGCCAGAACCATAATGTTATTAAGTTATTATGTAAGTGTTGTGGTTGGCATGTTTTTGTAACTGTCACTGTTTTGTTGGCCCCCTGTTACATGGTCTAATGGTTTCTGCACAATTATCCTCCTGACTTCTCATTTGCTGTTGATCTGTTTTCACATTTGCATTTGTCATTATAATAGCGAAAGCTACAAATTGTTTCTGTCCCGGTACCTATTTCCCACTTGTGATAGGACGAAGACAAAAACCTACCAATTGTAACTTGTTCTGGTTTTCTATTCACATAGTTTTTTAACACCGAGATATATATTATGTGTAGATACATAATAAAAAAATGTGTTTCTAGATAAATCAAAACGATATACAATTTAGAACGAAATGGGTAGTTCTCTTGCATATTAAGGCTCCATTTGTTTGGTAGAGCTTCAGCCGGCTTTTCCATGCACTAGTAAGAATTTGTTTTGTCTCCTTTTTTTTAAAAAAAAACTAGAAGTCAATAACATCGTTTTTTTTCTTTGTCTGCTCCGATTCATCCATGCAATGCAGTAAAAGTCAAAGCTATGCTAAATGGGAGATCTCTTGTTTCAGTGACAAAAGACCCTAGCTGTTTTTTCTTTTTTGAGGAAAAGCTGTTTTTTTTTCTTAGGGCGAGTTTCTTTACTCGGCCACAGAGCCGCAAAAGGACTAATACGCACTATGCAGGCTTATTTTTGGGCCTAGCCACTGCGCTGGAGTCTCCCATATTTTTATTGGGACGCCAGTGGCTTGGTATCAAAAGTATTTAGACCGAAAAAATAAAGTAATCTACCTCGGTTTTGCTTCCTAAAATAAAAAACAGTTTTTATACCCTTGGTGAGTGTGCGTGCGTATTGAGCGTTACTTATGTAATTCGTAAAAATAAAAAATCTAAAACTGTTTGTTTTTATATTTTGGTGGTTTTGATGGTGGTTTTATTGATGTGATGGCACGTCAGAGAAGGATCAATGGGACTAAGTTGAAAGTTCAGGGATGTAATCTGACTAGAAATATTCTCCAAAGATTCATAAAAGTAAGTTTTCAAAAAATGTATCCAAATATTTTTACATGGAAAAATATTGTAATTAAAAATCTGTTTTAGTCTTAGAAAATCCATAGAAATTTTGTTTTACCTCAAAAATTTATGAAAGTAGTTTTAGTTTTTTTTCCCTAAAATCATGCTCTATGTTATGGTGCCCAGTTTGAAATTGTTTGAATTTTGATGGACTGTTTTGGTGCTTATTTTCTAGTAGAAGCGCTCATTATCTATTATAACTAGATGATACCCGCGCGTTGCTGAGAAAATTTTATAACTCTTTTTTGATAAAATCTTATGGAGTTATAAATATGTGGCTTTGTGTTAGAAAATCATATTTAATATGGTTGTGCCATCTTGAAATTTGTAGGACAACATAGGATTGATGATTTAAAGGATCGAGTTAATTGGAAAATTATCTTAGAAAAAAATGCATGAATCATTGTTTCGCTTCTTCCTCGTAACTACTAAAACTCTAAAAGAGATAGAGATAGATTTGGTACTGAGTTTCTTTGTACACGCAACAGAAAGAACACGCCCCGGCAATCCGGAATAAAGGATTATGAAAAGAAAGAGAGGAAATGGTTGAACGGCCAGGCCCATTCTTTAAGTTCCTTCAATCGAAGAAAATTTGCACCTCTTTCCTCCCGACCGCACGGACGAACTCGCATGGAACAAAATCCACAGTCGATCTCCAAACTCCCAACGAAATCAAGATGGCCTTCCAACTTCCAAGATCTTGGCGTCTCAACCACGTATCTCCTCCCTAATCGATCTGCCGCATCCCCTCCGAATCGAGTCCAGCCACGGGCATCGACGGCGCGGGGGCGAGCCCGGTCACTCGTGGAGGCGGCGCGCGGGTGAGCGGGCCGTGAGCATCAACGGCGCGTCACGCGTGGGCGACTGGGTGAGGCACGAGCGGCGTGCGTCATCATGGTGCTGCTCTGTTTCTTGTCGCGCCGAGGGAGGCGGCGGCACCTGCTGTGGCGGCGGATGTTGCGGCGAGAAGGAGAAACAGCGTCGCGCTGGCGAGCCTGGCCACGAGCATCAGCAGCGCGTGGGCGAGCCCGGTAAGCAGCAGCGACGCCCGCAGGCGGTGCCGCCCCTGCTGCTTTTTGTCATTGCGCCGAGGCAGGGGTGGCAGCACCTGTTGTTGCGGTGGATGCAGGGACAACTCAGGTTTAGGCCCCGTTCGTTTGTCTGAAAAAAAAAAAAACTGTAGCGGTTGGTTTTATGAGAGAAAAATACCGTAGTAGTTGGAAGATGCACTGTAGCATATAAGGACAACAAGCCGAACCATCCGGCTGGTCTGAAACTTTCAGACCAGCCGAACGTGCCCTATAGGGCAGCTCGTCGGTGGGAGAAATGGAGGTAGACCAACAGACACGGTGACTCTTCACTTCTTCAGTTCGCAGTTTTGATAGTGGATTGCGGGCGCCGTCTGAGCTATGAACAGGTATGGGAAAGGATTGTTCAGCTCCTGCGTATTGATGTGGAGATCTCATTGATGTGTGGTTGTGGGACCCTCTGACGACGTGGCTTTACGGAATCACAGATAAATCTGTGGGTTCCTCTTATTTAGGTATAGTAAATAATAGATTATTCGATGTTGATTGTTAGGACCACATAGAAGCCCTAGTGGAGCATCGTTAGGAGTGTAGTGGGCGCTCGCCCTCTGCCATTGATAAATTTTAAGAGTAATTGTGTTTGCCTACGTAATTGCATGCACCCTGCCGCACGTATGCATGCTCTCATTGTCTATTATAATTGATCTACGTTAATGACCGTGGCTTTGATGACAGAGTGTCATGTAACAACACTATACTTAATACTATTTAGTATGGACATAAATGTCACTCCATCATGTGTGTGCCACTTTATTCTATCTGTATAAACATTATAAATCTTGTGCTACTACCATCTAGATTTTGCTGTTGTGCTAGGGTCTGGCCCCACTGCTTCTATTCTTGTTTGCAACAGAGAAAGCACTCTGATACAAGTAGAACTTGTTATTTGAATAAAATATGCTTATGATGCGCTCATTTCCTTTTATTACGAGGTATGTTGATGGTGTTTTGAGGATGTAAAATCATGTCATTTTCACCGTCAATAGTAATGATGCAATTAAGAGAAACATTACCTTCATAAGATTCTCCGTCTTGTCCTTTACAAGCAGCAACATTGAGATCTATGGCATGCACACCATAACACCAGTGTGTTTCTCTTCCTAAAGATAGTGGGACTGGCCTTCTTGTTGAGCGGATACACTTGATCCTCCTAAAGATGGTGGATTTCATCTCCATCATCAGCATGTTCTTCATTCTACTTCAGGTAAGGGCTCTCCACTTCCTTCATCTGGTACTCTATTTAGATTTAAGGTCAAGGTTGAAGGTGGAATGGATTGCAGGCTAAGTGAAGCGACCTGATTTCCGCGAAGGGAAATCCACAGAGTCAAAGTGTAATAAGACCGTTGTAGATCATATTACCTAAATTCTAGTCGAATATCACATCCATACAACGATAATATCAGAGTACAAATAGTGTGAAATTACATAAATTTATTACATCGCCGCATTGGCGGAATCAAAAGTAGCATTCATTCAGAACAGCTTGAAGATAAGATCGCCAAACTCGAGCGTAGGAACGAACCCCTCAACCGTCAAACTCCTCGGAGCTATACTCCTCAGCAGAACATGTGTGCCAAAATTTATCAGTACGATTTGTACTCCACCCTATGAGCATTGCTTTGTGAAAATTGGATGCAAGTTGGGTATAATCAAAAGGAACCTATAAGGCTGGGGTTTCCTATGTATTAGCATATTACGTACATAATAATAGTTGGTCAAGTTTTAACACCATTCCCACACCCATTCCACTCCATTCCCATTCTAGAGCCAGGTTTCGATCCTGGGATCAATATACCACCATCTGTACATCGTCACCATACCACACCCATACCATCACTCAGTCGACAGACCAATTCCCTCTCGGCACTGTCTCAAGGCTCGTAGCCCCTGGCTATGTCCGAACACTCACTTCCGGGGGAAGAAGAGAAGGACTCATCTCACTATCTAGTTTAAGCGAAACCCAAAAAAGGTCCATAGCCGACAAGTCGACATATGTATCGATCGATCAACCATACACTCTGCAGAGGTTTTACATAACCACAAGATCCGCCTTCCTCGCTGACCGTCGTCAACTGGGCTGATTCCGACCGCTTGCTAGCCTAGGATAATGCCACTCTACCATTCAGCCCTGGTACACCCTAAGTCTGGTCTGAGGTGACTGAAACTGTGAGTCATGAACCGGGTCCACAAGGTCTCCATGAAGTCTCGGAAGGGTGTGGGGGGAATCCTCCGCACCCCGTACCTCTCTCACACTGTCCGCTATCAACCTAGCAGTAGTGGTAAAATCCTACCAAGTAGTCCGGCCGTCCCGCACCACATAGGGCGAGTGGTACGTAAGGCTTCCCGGTAAATCTGAGTACTAGTAAGTCCTTAGGGATGATCAAGCCAGAATGTCTTCATCAGGGTTTCCATTTACCGTGCCACCACAGCACCTCCACCCTGGGCTCCTCCCATCACAGGTTCACACCCAGGGCCACCTCATATACCATTTACCCACCACAGGTATCCATTCCAGG